ATTGAATAATGTGAGTAGAAACGTTAAACCTATACCATTTTTTTAGAACTAAACATTCTTTCAAATTAAATTAAACTTTTTTCTGTCTTTAAACTAGAACAAAAACAGTAGATATTAATGTATTATGAAATGCATATTTGATATTATTCTATTGTTTTATTAATTACTATTTAGTACCAATTAGTGTGACTTAATAAATTATCCATACAAATCACAAATAGTCACTAGTTAGATGACTTAACCTAACTACTATGTGTAAATAATGGCAAATAAAATATATTAATTTTTGGACTTATCACTAGACATTAGTAATAAATCATGTGAGTAATGATACTTCATCACATTCTTAAATAATATTTATTGTCTTAGTTCTACATATTATAATAGGTAATGTTAATAGTGCTGATCAATTATTATATAATTGGTAGGTTCCTAAGTATTCATAATTGTTAATTGTATATGTATAGGCCTATAATAAGTAATAGCTAATTTACTGCTAGATGCCTAGATCTATAATTAAAAAGCTAACTATAGGTATCATTATTGGATATTATAAATATTTAGTCTTGGGAAATAAAGGTAGTTATAATTTATAATTCACACAGTAAATAATATGATAAAGCATTGAATTTAAATTGGTTTTTATATTATATCGTAGTTTGTGTATTTTTATCCGTATAATGACAGTTGAATTATAATATGCACATTGTAAATGCATTCAAGTTTTAATGGTATCAAATATCAATAAACTATCATAGATCGCTTATAGAGGACAATTGGTTGGCATTTAAAACAAGTTAAATGAAAAAATCTGGTTTTTTTTTACATTATTTAATCAAACCTATTTGTACTTAGTAAATGAGGAAATTAGTACATGGCTGTAAATATTCGAAGTAAAGCATGGTTTAGTGTAAAATAAAATACCTAGATTAATAAACTGTACTTGCCCTTGTAACAACAAAACTGCTGCAAATAGGGTTACATTTTATTGCGTGTAAACAAGTTCTCCTTGCTAACATTTAAAAATTCTAAATATTCAAATTATATTATTATTACTATTTATATGGTAATAATAGAAATTGTGTTCAATATTGAAACTAAGAGATACTTAAAACATGTATAAAGACTACTTCTAAGTACCAAAATAAAAAAATTATATTAAAATACGACCGAATAATTATAAAAAGTTTGGTTAATTATATAGTTATAGGTATCTGATTTAAATCCAATCTTCCATTGAAACACGCTACTCGAAATATATTCTCTTCAAGGAAAAACTATGTATTATAAATCTGTTTTTGTTAATAAGTAAGTACTAACCATGATAACAAAACCTTACACAAAATCTGCCAGAAATAAAAAATATTGTACCCGGCCTCATATTTATGTTAAAAAAAAATACTTATTTATGCTTCATCATCTTATTGTTAGTCATAAACATAAACATATAATATTTTATGTGGTATACATTTTTGTGGTGATTTATAAGCTTCAACTTAAAACAAATACGGTACTTTCAATCAATATTCATCAGAACCAATGTCTAAGTTAGTCATAAAATCCTAAATATTAAACCTGAATATAATTATCATCCCTAAACAAGGACTATCTAAATAACAAACGGTTATACAAAAAAAACTACATATGTATTCAAATCCTCAGAAATTCTAATTTATCCTATATTTGTTTGTAGTGGCGAGGGAACGGTTGGTTGAAACACGTTTGTATGTGTGGTAAGGGTAACACCAGCTGATGCCTGATACGTACACTCACAGCATTTACGAAGTTGAGTGTACGGACCTCGCCACACCACGCCACATTACAATTTATGACTTCGAAAAAAATTGATGAGTCATAATAATAATATGTTTAAATAAGTAACCATTAATTGTATAATACACACAATACACCTAGCAGGAATTAGGTAATTTTTACATTTCATTCGTTTCTAAGGTGATAGACAAAGAGTTACTCAAAATCGGTTAGAAAATAAAAATATCTGTACCCAGCCCAAAAACATTTTTTTATACTAAAAATGAAAAGTTTTGACTAATATCAATGATTATTTTCTTTACTCATGAAATTTTTGTTATTCTAATTTTACAACTAGGTACCTATCATGAAATTTACTGATATAAATTTATTGTATTTTTGATTTGTACTAGCATAACTTAAGTGTGTATTAATATTTCTTTATCCAAATATGTAGTAATATTTTAATTTTTGAATTTGGTGATTGGTCATTGGTATCACTATATCAGTATATTATAATACTTGTATATAAGGAAATTCAATAATAGGTACCTCTGGTACCCACCTAATTATTAATATTTTATTTGTAACTTTCTAAAGTTAAATAACAAATTGGAGCTTTCAAATGTATTTAGGTACTTATTTAAATTCATTAATTATATTCTAAAAACGATACTTTATATCACACTATAAGACCTTCTAAAATTAACTTTCTTGACTTCTTTGAACTACCTACCAATTTTAAGTGCTCCTGTTATATTAATGTGTAAAATAGTATGGATTATATTGGTTGTATAATATATAATGGTGTGATAATGTAACATTGTGAGTAATACTAATTAGTAATTAAATAAGTATTCCAAACTATATAATATATAATAACATTATGACTAGGTTTGGTTTATACAGGTGGACGTTACTAACCGTGTTTCCGGACCCTTGGAGGTTATATTAAATTGATTATACTATAAATCGCATGTAAATATCCAGTATGTAAACAAATTCATTCCAAAAAGTTTAGAAGTATTGTAAAATACCACATTAGTACTGTAACTAGTAATTATTACTATCATCATAAAATAATATTGGAATGAAATAAAAAAAATAAAAATGAATAATTTATGATATTTTTTCGAAATTAGGAACGCATATAAATTGTTAACTTATGTTACCATTATTATCATTCATGTAATAACAATAATAACTTAATTCTTACATAAATATTTTGTTTATTATTATTAATATTATGAATTGCAATGAATGAAGTTGTAAGTAGGTATACATAATGTTAAATTATTATGATGATAAATAATGATGAACGTCTGTATAAAATAAGATCATTACCTTCCTAATATAATAATTATAAACTTAACTTACAAAATAATATATTACCCAGGTGGTTAGGTACTGTTATTAATTAATGCAATAGTATTGTTTAGTTTTTATTTAATATTACATTAATACACATATTATCATACATGCTAGTATAATACAATAATTTATACAATAATTATTATTTCTATATAAAAAACTATACGTTAATAAAGTACATAAATACCTATAATAATATGTTGTATAAGTAACAAGGCATAATAAATTACATTCATATATATAAATACTTATTCTAAATGTTTAACAAGTAAAAATAATACAAGCTATTTTGTACCTTATATTTGTTTTAAGTACATTCTAAATTTATAAATATGTTTTTTTTTATCAAATAACTAGACATCTTTATTTAAAATAAAACATTTATACATTTTTTTTTATAAAAACTGTTACCTAACTATATAATAACTTTTTCTTTAGGTACTACAAGTTACGTTTTTGTATCCAGACGTCATTGCTTACGTTGTTTTAATTATAATAAATAGCTTATATAATATTTTAAATAATAATATAAGAAAATGAGTTATTGTAATTTGTAATTTATTTCTAAAATTTAAAAACAACTAGTGACGTTGAGAAAATGACACATTTTCTAATTAAATCAAATTATAATAATACATTTTTTAATGATAGTTATTCCATATGATTTTGGCAAACTGAAAAGTTTCGATAACAATTAAGACGTATACAAGAATATTGTATCCTCACAATAGCTGGGAACTCGCACATATATATTTTTTTTACACTTCTAATACATTTTAAAAACGGTATACACTAATGATATATTAATCTTCTGCGTCTTCTCCTTCTTCTTTGAGGAATCATATAATAATAATAATAATAATAATATGGTCGTAATAATTATTTGTAAACACGTCCCGTTGATCGCCGAACGCTGAATTTATAGTGCATAGTATTGAAAAGTAAAACGGTTGTCTGACGCTCAGTCACTGTGTCACTCAGTCACTGTGGTCTTTTGTCGTTACCCACCTGCAATTGTAAGTACGTCATGGTAAATAATATTAGGCATACAAGTAAACTAAAAGTCACAGAGCCGGTTACGTTTCCATACAATAACTATTGCCGGGCTGTCCGAAAAATGTTTCGTCGACTTCGTTACCTATACTCGACATAACATCGTCCTGCGAGGTCTCGTTGCGGGTGGGTAACGGTGTGCTGAATTCTGTGGTTTATACACGATAATACTGTACGCGTAGAGGTAACTACAACTCATAATAATAATCTGTAATGTGCAGCATAATGCCGGCTCGCAGTTCACGTCGTTCGGCGAGGTCGAACGTAATAAAAAAAAAAAAAACAATGCAACTATAAAACAAAGTGTCAACATTTGGAGTAGGCGATATTTAGCTGCAGAATTATCACTCGTGTCCGCCACCGTTCGAATATCATATAAACGCCGTGTTCTCATAATAATAATATTATATTATATGTATAATAATATTGTATAGGAAGCAGCGGCGCTCGGCGTACAATAAGTACGAGTATGTGCATTTTTATTCTTTTCGGTGACCTCTAAAATACACGTTAGGTATCCGACCAGTTCTCCTCCGCGCGGATATAGCTGACAAACACGTTCGGACTCATCGTCATCGTCGTCGTCGTTCGCGGTTTCGACGACCCTCCGGACCGCGGTTTTGTGCGCGTATATTATAAACGAGTGCGAGTACGTGTGCACGCACGACGTCTGTCTGTTACTCTCGACCGCATGTCAATAATAATTATAGTCTGTTTCCTATAGTAATAACACTATTGTATAATCGTATCGTCTCGATCGCGTGTTGCAGGCCGCCGGAGAATATCGATCACCTCACCACCACCATCAACCCCCCACAATCGCCATGGAGGACATTGCGCTGGGACGATCGGCGACCCTGCCGCAGCCGCAGGCCGAGGAGGAGATTTGCATCGAGATCAGGGACGCCGTGAAGATATATGACAGGAACAACGTGGTGTTCAGGGGTTTGAACATGACCGTGCCCAAGGGTAAAATGTAAGTATTTTTCAAGTCGAATCCAATAGCCGCTAGATAGTGCACGAGTTATCGTTGTTCGTTTTGCACCCCCGAAGCACTAAACAAATAATGATATTGCATGCGACCGTTTGTCTGAATAAATTATTATTCGAATTATTCGCTTCAAACAGTCTTCAGCAGAAAATTCTGAATTTAAAAGATTTAGCGAATGAGAGAGTCCGTTGTATTAATATAATAGCTTATTACGGAGGCCAAGCAATGACAATTCATGATGTATTATATTACGTTATGATTTTTTTTCTTAACTTATTTCTTAACCACCAATATTGAGTAACAAATGAATTTCATAATATAATAACACGAAATATTTGCAATATGTTTGCACGCATATTCAGTACCAGTAAATAACAGTGTTCTGATATTATAAACTCATATTGTTATCAATGGATCATAATATTATTATATATTTAAGTTTGAGGAACAAATTTTTGTTAACTCTTTTTTTTACTCATCCAACAAATATGATATGAGAAACATAAAATATTGAAATCAAGACATTTTTGTAATAAACATTATGATTGATGTAAAAAAATAAAAATAAACTATTACGGATATCAAATAATATGCATCATGTACCTATAAAATATGTTCACATCATATTTATACTGAACATTTGGATAGTTTATTTTTTAATTAATATTCTCCAGGCACCTAATGTTCCTTTAAATATAATTTTATTGATTTCCTTCATATAGTGCCTATTATGATTGTAAGTTTTGCACTTATAGCCGCCTGATACCAATTTCAGTGGATTTTTTTATCTCCCCCACTTAAACTTAAATGGCTATATTTTTTTTCCAATTTGATATGATAACGATAGTATTTATAGCTTCAAAATATATGTCCTAGGGAAAAAAGATAAATAATTTGAACATTTTATAATACTCTTGTCCATTTATTATTTCTTATCACTACAAATAAGTCTGAAATTAAAATAAAAACAAACTACCTTTGAATGGTCATCAGGCAGATACGATTTCAAATACTACTAATAGGTTATAGGCATTATTGGAGGTAGAAAGACATTAAGTATTTATAACCACAAAACATAAAAACAAATTATAGGTACTAGGATGATAAATAACTATCAATTATATAATTTGTAATACATTTTCGAATGTATCGTAACATATCGGGAAGGGTTAGCGGACATATATTTCAAGACCGCTGAATAATACCACTCGTAGTACCTCTTAGGGCTTTATTGCGGGTGTTCATAAACATAAATCGGTTTACTTGATGTTATTTTAATATATTATAGGATCTTAACTTTACTATTCTTACTAATAATAACTTCAGTAGGTTGCAGCCATCATTATTGTAACAGTGAATGTAAACTGAATGTAACCGAATTTAAAGGGGTGTAGTTATATACACCTTGGACGAGTAAGTACCTACCTATTTTATTTTGGCTTTTTCCAATTGGCACAACATCAATCGTTTATTAGAGTCGAGAGAACACACCTTGGTTATTTTTCACTTTTCCAATTATTTTCATCTCGCCACAGACAATCGGATTAAATATTTGTTTTTTTTTTTAATTTCTCACTGACATTTCGATTAAACTTGCACTTGACAATATTTTTTATTGTCAATTACTATATGTACATCGTAGACATCGGTAAGATGAGCTTTCGATAAGACTAGCTAAGATCAATATTTATTTTAAATTGAACTATCTGATATACAACTTCAATAAAAATATATTTTAAACAATAATATTTTTTTATTTTGATAATATATTATAGTTCTTTCCTCGATTAAAATTTTGTATGTTCAGATATTCCAATATAATATTGTACACGCCTCGTACAAAAAAAACATTCTGTGATTTATGTGAATTGATTTAAACTAATAAAAGTATACAATTTTGTATTTTGTAAACTTCATTATTCGAATTGTTCCTACAAGATGTTTTACTCGAATTATTTTTTTAATTTAAATTTTACAGATAATAACTCATTTGTTTTTTTTTTGTAATCTGAGCAAAATATGTTTATTTATTTATCTTGATAATGCTTTTGAGGGGCAAACAGTAGAGTAAATATATAGGTACTTAATTGGTCATACAATATAATATAATACATAGTTACACATAATATGAAAACTAAACACATAATTTAAATACAATGATACTATTTACTATTTAGAATAACAATTATATAATACCGTATTCTTTAACATGATGAAAAACAAACCTAAGTAAAGAGATACATGAAAGTAGCAGATGGGTTAACTGGAGAGCAATGAATGACTATAATTTTTTCGCTAAGTAGGTAGGTACATAAAACAAAGATATTGTTCTTAAATTAATCGATGGAACATAAAAATGTATAATATTAAAAACTTTTGGACAATAAAACTTATTATACAACCCATATTATACTATAATATTTTTTCCTAAAATAAATGGACATAGGTACTGTTGACACTAAGAAATATATCATTATAGTAGTTATTGCTTTATTTAACTTAAGATAAATCATTTCAAAAACGTATTTGGCATGAATAATATTTTATTGATTCACTATGAAATGGAGACTTAAAAATAAATTAATGTTCTAAAATACACCTACTTAAAGATAAATAAAAAGTTTAAATACAAAATATTTTATTAAAATGTCCACCTTTTCGATGCAAGAAACATATAGGGCACGGGATATATTAGTATAGGGTTAGTAGAGGTACTAATTAATAATTATATTATGGTAAAAAAACTATAAGTCACTTGAAATATATACACCTGAGACTTTTATTATGTTATAAACTACTACTAAATTGTATCTATTTATAGCTGAGTTAGAAATACAATACATTTTTTTTTCCAATTGAAAATAATTTGGGTATATTTTTTTTGCACTATCCACCAAAAATAAAACCGATTTAGATCAAACTGAACTTGTGAAAAGTCATAATCTGAAACAATATTGGCATGTACAGTTTAAGATCTATCGCAGAGGGAAAATAATATTTACAATACTGCGAACGGTGACTTAAAGCATTAATACAAATGACAAAGATTAGGGGAGATTAATTAACACCCTGGGTGGAAACCATACGACACATCAATAATTTTAAAAGTATATTTTCGACTATCTTATTATCGGAATTAACAAGTATTTACCCAACTAATGTTACGAACATAAACTCTCACGATGCATTTTCCATGAATTTTCTAATCCCTGAATTCATTAAAAACTGAGTTACTTGGTTCGATAAAGTTAATATTGATTCAATACTTTGTTACATTCTCCATATTTTTGGCAGGAATTTTCGAACACCCTTATATTATAGAAACAGATAAAAAATACAGCCATTATATCATTATTGCAATTATAAAGTGTTTTATTTATCGATATATTAATGAATGATATATATATATTATTATTATTATAATTTATGACGTTTACGAGTATACAATTGGGATAATTTATCGTACGCAGTCGGTGACGTAGTTAAAGCAAAATGCAATAACTAAACGCCTACGATTATTCACGTTATCATAATATATTAATATTTCAAGATGATTATAATATATTCCGATCTGCAGGACGCTGGTTGAGAACGAAATTGCCAGTGGTGGTCAGTTTAGTCGAGAACAGATCGTCTCGTGGGCAACATGTGTGAGACCGCTTAACTGTATTATATTATAATACAGAGATAACAAATAACAATTAATTGTCTAGATAAAAAACCAGATAAATCAAAACTTTAATTTATCGTGTACTAAAGAACTGTACTCCTTAAATGGTATAAGAAATCTAAGTTTAAGAGTAAAGGGACTTGAAAATTCCAAAAATCAGATTTTAAATATAGGGTGCCTCTCTATAAAGGATAAAAAGGATACGAGAGTATTGTTCATACAGGCTGAATTTCGCTGCTTACTTATATTATATACTTATCGTAACCATTTATGAGTGTAGTATGTATGTAATATACAGAAGACAATCGTGTCTGGCTCGAACTAAAGGAACAAATCGATTTTTATTTATATTCACAGTCCAAAAATCACACGTTTAAGATTATATCGTGTTGTCTTTAAATTATTAAGATCACGCCGCGCTGTCATTCATAGCAATAATTCCAAATATTATATTATGTGGTTTGTATGACCCAACAGTACGATTTCCAACGACGTCATATAATTTCATATACGATACCATATAATAAATGCGTAGGTATCACTAAAAACGTGAGAAAAAATAATAAAAATCGTACACTATTATACCTATAATTGTATATTATATAGCACCTAAATAGTAAGGGCGGCCGTGTATAATATATTGTACATTGAATATTCGGAAAAGTTAACTAACGGAAAATGGATTTTTCGATGGCTGGATGGCTGGCGGGTATATACCAATTTTCCGTGTCACCGTAAAGTCATCCTCACGCGCGGAGGAGCAAAGTGAATTTCCTCGGATGTAAAAACGTCATTTGATTTTCCTACATTATAATATTATATATAATAATTACATTTCGTTCTTAATAGTCGCATCCTCTAAAATCCAATTTTCTTCCGGTTAATGGGTATTTTATAATATATATAATATTATATATATAAAAAAAACAGTATACACTAAATCTTAAAACTTTTTACTTTTTACTTGTACTAGGATACCAACTTATATATACGTGGTGATTCGTAAACTAAATATTACATACATTTTTTCAATTAATTTTACGTCTAAAGTTTATTACTTTAACTAATTATAACACTCCACTTTTGGCAACAAATGCACAATCACTATTTTAGATTCTGAGTGGAACGATGAATGTATTGATTTTACAATGATGTGTTTTTTAATTTTTTTTGGTGTTTGTGTACACGATAAGTAGTCGAAATAATGCATCGATTTTCAACTTCAATATCTTGTTCGATTGGAAAGTGAATATCGTTGGTGCATTGAGGAGGTCAAAATTTAAAATTCCCAGTAATTCTGTTACCAAAAAATCTA